GAACCTGAGGCAGGAGACTCGCTTGAGCCCAGGAGGCGGAGACTGAAGTGAACCAAGATCATGCCATTGCACTCCAGCTGGGCGACAAGAGCGAAACTCCATCTCGAGAAACTAAACTCATAACTAAATTTCTCTTTTAGCTACTATTGTTTTTACTTGTCAAAAACACATAATAATTTATAATAAAATATTTTCAAATATTCAGTTTAGTTATATTGACATTATTCTGCAACATATTGCTGAAGCATTTTTTTTTTTTTTTTTTTTTTTTTATTCTGCAAATATATTGCTAAAGCATTTTTTTTTTTTTTTTTTTTTGATTTATCTCGTCATAAGGTTTGTTTTTGAGACGGAGTCTCGCTCTGTTGCCCAGGCTGGAGTGCAGTGGCCGGATCTCAGCTCACTGCAAGCTCGGCCTCCCAGGTTCACGCCATTCTCCTGCCTCAGCCTCCCCAGTAGCTGGGACTACAGGCGCCCGCCACCTCGCCCGGCTAGTTTTTTGTATTTTTTAGTAGAGACGGGGTTTCACCGTGTTAGCCAGGATGGTCTCGATCTCCTGACCTCGTGATCCGCCCGTTTCGGCCTCCCAAAGTGCTGGGATTACAGGCTTGAGCCACGGCGCCCGGCCTGCTGAAGCATTTTTATCTTGCAAAGCTAAATCTCAATACACATTATACAACTACCAACTTTTCCAGTATTACGGCACTTTTGAAACACCACTCTGTTTTGTGTTCCTAGTGGTGTAACTTCTTTATGTATCTCATACAATCTCTGTGTGTTTGTGGCTGGCTCATGTCACTTTGCAAAATATCATCAAGATTTATCTGTGTAGTTGTTAGAATATTTTCTGCTTTTTGAAAACTGAGTGATATGATTGGGCGCAGTAGCTCACATCTATAATCCCAGCACTTTGGGAGACCAAGGCGGGTGGATCACCTGAGGTCAGGAGTTCTAGACCAGCCTGGCCAACATGGTGAAACCCCATCTCAACTAAAAATACAGAAATTAGCTGAGTGTGGTGGTAGGTGCCTGTAATCCCAGCTACTCAGGGGGCCAAGGCAGGAGAATTGCTTGAACCCGGGAAACAGGGGTTGCAATGAGCTGAGATCATGCCATCGTACTCCAGCCTGGGGGACAAGAGTGAGACTTCATCTCAAAAAAAAAAAGAAAGAAAGAAAGTAAGAAAACTGAGTGATGTTCCAGTATTTTTACACTTCAAATTGTATCTATTGAATAATTTGGTGACAGAAATTAGCATTGTTTTTACCTATTGGCTTTCAGTAACAATGCTACAATTATTATGGGTATGTAAATGACTCTTTATATGACCATATATATTAAAGTTTATGTGTTGCATTCTATTTGATTTGTCTAGTTTTCAGTTTGATACTGATACTAAATTGTTTTAATTCTGTAGCTTTGTAATATGCTTTGAAATAAGGAATTATAATGCCTCCAACTTTTTTTTTTCTTTTTGAAGATTGTTGGGTACCTTGTTGTCTCTTGCAATAGCACTCCTGAGTTTGCTATTACTATTTTCTCAAAAATGCAATGAGAAATTTGAAAAACATTGCATTCAATCTGTAGATTACATTAAATGATATAAACATCTATACAATATTAATTATTTTAATATTTGAACAAGAGTATGCTTGAGTGTATTGTTTAATTTCTATATATATTTGTGAATTTTTCAGTTTTTTTTCCCATTGTTTTATATTCTTATTCCATTTTGTTCATAGAAAGTAATCCTTAAACTTTTAGGGTTTTTTTTTTATTGTTGTTGTTGTTGTTTTTTGAGACACTTTCACTCTGTTGCCCAGGATTGGGGCGCAGTGGTGTGATCTCGGCTCACTGCAACTCTTGCCTCCTGGGTTCAAGCGATTCTCATGCTTTAACCTGCTGCGTATCTGGGATTATAGGCGCATGCCACCAGGCCAAGTTAAGTTTTGTATTTTTGATAGAGACAGGGTTTCGCCATGTTGGCCAGGCTCATCTCAAACTCCTGACCTCAGGTGATCCACCCGTCTCGGCCTCCCAAACTGCTGGGATTACAGGCATGAGCCACCATGCCTGCCAAAGTTTCAGTTTTTTGTTGTTGTTATTTGTTTGTTTGTTTTGAGACAGAGTCCTGCTCTGTCGCCAGACTGGAGTGCAGTGGTGTGATTTCTCTTCACTGCAGCCTCCGCCTCCTGGGTCCAAGCAATTCTCCTGCCTCAGCCTCCCAAGTAGCTGGGATCACAGGCATGCACTACCATACCCGGCTAATTTTGTATTTTCATGTTGGCCGGGCTGGTCTTGAACTCCTGACCTCAGGTGATCCACCTGCCTCGGCCTCCCAAAGTGCTGGGATTACAGGTGTGAGCCACCACGCCCAGCTCAAAATTTTAGTTTTGAAACATTTGTTGAGATTTATTTTTTGACCTAACCGGTGGTCTATCAAAAAGAATGTTGTATGAGCTGTTGCAAAGGGTGTGTTTCCTGATGTTGAGAAGTGTTCTCTGTATCTGCTAGAAATACTTGCTTTATACTGCCCTCAAGTCCGCTGTTTCCTTACTAATATTATCTTGTTTTATTATTATCAGAGAAAGTGAGGTATCAAAATATCCTACTATTATTATATTGTTTTCTATGTGTTTCTTCAATTATGTCAATATTTACCTTACATATTTGGAACTCTAAGGTGAGATACACACACACACTCACAAATATGCATACATACACATTTTTCATAAGTCCCCGTCTATTATTGTTTAATGTCTTTCTTTGTCTTTTGGAGTTTTGACTTCATATACATTTTATGTAATATGAGTTTTTGACTTATGATGTAGCTCGTGTAATACTACTTTGACCTTTTCTGCTCTCATTTGGTTAGTATTTGGATAGAATGCCTACATCAATCTTGTCACTTTCAGGCTTTTTTTTATTATTAGTTCTAAACTGACTCTTGTAGAAAGACAAGTCAGGTCTTGAGTTTTAATGTTTTTTAATGCATCCCTTTATTGAAACTATGTCTCTTGATTAGAAAGCTAATTATACATATATGTAAGTAATTTTCTAAAAGACAAAGACTTCCTGTTATTTTATTAATTATTTTATTTGATTCTTGTATCTTTATCCCTCATTTTCTCCCTTTCTGTCTTCCATTGTGTCTGTTTCATTAGCATTGATATGGTTTCACTTCTTTCTTATTTTCTTTTGGGTGTCTATACAGATATTTTCTTTGTGGTACCTCGGGGATTACATAAAACCTCTAAAAGATAAAGTAGTATATATTTAATCTGGTGAAAAATGAACTTCAGTCATATACAAAAATTGTTCCCCATTATATCTGCCCTCAACTTTGTTATTGATATTGCTGATTATCTGTTGTATATTTATTAACAGATATTTACAATACTTTCTGTGCTTTTATTTTTCTAATTTTAGAGCATATTTATAAATGTTTTCTATCCCATTATGAGAATGCTAAGGAATTCTATTTTTGTGTATGTATGTTTCCCAGGAACTTATGTATTTTTATATGATTATGTGTTGTTTTCTAGCATCGTGTTATTTTCAGTGGAAGAAACTTTTTTCAGCATCTTTGATATATATAGGTCATATGCAGTGCCAATATACTGTCTCAGGATTTGGTTATTTTAGAAGGTCTTTTTTTTTATTTATTTGGTAGGACATTTTTGCTGATGATTATTCTTTTCACCTGGCAGCATTTTTTCTTCAGGACTTTGGCAATATCACACAGTTTTCTTCTGGCCTGGAAAATTTTCTTTTGAAAACCTCACTGTTTAGTTTTAAACAGTTTATAACTGTTTTAAACTGTTTATAAACTAGTTTATAACTCTATGCTTATAAATGACACATCACTTTCATCTTGCAGTTCTTGAGATTCTCTCTTGTCTGTGACATTTTAAATTGTTCTTATATATGTGTTTTTAAAATAAATATCTTCTATGTGTATTTTAGTTTGTTGAACTTCTTTATTTTTATATCATTTTTTTCTTTTAGAATTGGTTAGTTATTATCTCTTTGTATTTTACCTCTACAATTAGTTTTTTTCTTTTTTCTGATTTTCAGTAGTTGTCTGTGCTCCTTTTACTCATTGAGTGTTATTCAACTTATTTTAAATTTCTAAAATGTATACATTTTTATTTTATAATGATTGCTTTCTGAGAATTTTGTGATTTTTTTGATGGGACCATGTTGCTGTATTATTTTGTATACATTGTAATCTTTGATTGAGACTTGGACATTGAAAAAAAAAAAAAGGTTCCTGTCAGTCTTTATAATGTAGCTTTATCCTGGCATAGTCTGAAACCAGTTGTCATGGTTAGACATTCTGAGAGCCTTTTAAACATGTTCTTAGAATGTGTCTTATCTGAAATGTTTTATTTTCTAGTTTAAAAAGTTTATTTGCGTGACTTCTTCCTAGTTATCAATCACTTGCTACCCTTGTTCCCTGTCTGTGGTACTGCAGTCTGTCTGCTGCTGTAACATTTACCTTTGGTCTCAGCATTCTCAAATTGTTATTCCAAAGTATACTATTTTTTTTTCCAGCATTTTATTTAATGGGAGAATGAAACCAGTGTCTTGAGAGACCCCTAAAATCCAGACATAAAAATGTATGTGCCAATATTTTTCTTTTAAATAAAAACAAGGAGTTGGCAATGTATACTTCTAACGGCACTATGTTATACTGGGGAGAAGGAAGTGCTGTGTTGGGTTAATATAATAGATTTTTCTTTTTCTTCTATGTTGCTTTTTACATTGTGTTCACCTGGGGCACTTCGCACACTTAACTCATTTATAAATTTTCCAAAAATGTGTTTTGGTCAGTATGTTTTTGTTACATTTTATATGTTTTTGAATAAATTAGAGCCTGTGGTATTTTGCTATGCCATCTTGCTTATGTAGTGTATACAGTTTTATAGGTTAGATTTGTAAAAAATATTTACCTGAGTCTAGTAAGTGGAGTAATTTGTTGTTTTAATTTCTTTTAGTTATGTGTTCTCATATTGCTGAAGACCTTTGGCCGGAGCAAGACATAAAAGATTTTTCCCAAAAAGTCATACTGGGGAGACATGATAAATGTGAACATGAGAATTTACAATTAAGAAAGGGCTGTAAAAGTGTGGATGAGTGTAAGGTTTGCAAAGGAAGTTATAATGGACTTAACCAATGTCTGATAACTACCCAGAGGAAAATATATCAATGTGATAAATATGTGAAAGTCTTCTATAAATTTTCAAATTCAGATAGACATCAGATAAGACATACTGAAAAGAAAACTTGCAAATGTAAAGAATGTGGCAAATCATTTTGCATGCTTTCACAACTAACTCAACATAAGAGAATTCATATTAAAGAGAATTCCCACAAATGTGAAGAATGTGGCAAAGCCTTTAACAAGTCCTCAGCCCTTACTCGACATAAGATGACTCATACTGGAGAGAAACCCTACAAATGTGAAGAGTGTGGAAAAGCTTTTAACCGGTCTTCACACCTTACTCAACATAAGATAATTCATACTAGAGAGAAATCCTACAAATGTGAAGAGTGTGGCAAAGCCTTTAACCGGTCTTCACACCTTACTCAACATAAGATAATTCATAGTAGAGAGAAGCCCTACAAATGTGATGAATGTTGCAAAGCCTTTGACTGGTCCTCAGCTCTCACTACTTTTACTCAACATAAGAGAATTCATACTGGAGAGAAACCCTACAAATGTGAAGAGTGTGGAAAAGCCTTTAAACAGTCCTCAGCCCTTACTCGACATAAGATGATTCATACTGGAGAGAAACCCTACAAATGTGAAGAGTGTGGCAAAGCTTTTAACCGGTCTTCACACCTTACTCAACATAAGGTAATTCATACTAGAGAGAAACCCTACAAATGTGAAGAGTGTGGAAAAGCCTTTAACCGGTCTTCACACCTTACTAAACATAAGAGAATTCATACTAGACAGAAGGCCTACAAATGTGATGAATATTGCAAAGCCTTTAACTGGTCCTCAGCTCTTACTACCCTTATTCAACATAAGATAATTCATACTGAAGAGAAACCCTACAAGTGTGAAGAGTGTGGCAAAGCCTTTAACCGGTCTTCATACCTTATTCGACATAAGATAATACATACTGGAGAGAAACCCTACAAATGTGAAGAGTGTGGTAAAGCCTTTAACCAATCTTCACACCTTACTCAACATAAGTTAATTCATACTGGGGAAAAGCCCTACAAATGTCAAGAATGTGGCAAAGCCTTTAACCGGTCTTCACACCTTACTCAACATAAGATAATTCATACTGGAGAGAAACCCTACAAATGTGAAGAGTGTGGCAAACCTTTCAATCGTTTCTCATACCTTACCATACATAAGAGAATTCATGCTGGAGAGAACCCCAACAAATGTGAACAATGTGGCAAAGCTTGTAACCATTCCTCAAACCTTACGAAACATAATTCATAATGGAGAAAAACCCTACAAATGTGAAGAATGTGTCAAGGCTTTTAACTGTTCATCAATCCTTACTAAACATAAGGGAATTCATAAAAGAGAAGCCCTACAAATGTGAAGAACGTGGCCTGGCTTCTAACAAATCTTCAACATTCACCAAGCACAAAATAATTCATGCTGGAGATAAACCCTTGAAATGTGATGAATGTGGCATAGCCTCTACCCAGTTCTCAACTCTTACTAAACATGAGAACTCATGTGGAAGATAAAACCTACGAATGTGAAGAATGTGACAAAGCCTTTAAAAGTTCTCAACTCTTATTACACATAATTTATACTGGACAGAAATCCTAAAGTGTGAAGAATGTCACAAAGCCCTTAACAAGTCCTCAATTCTTAACATATATAAGATGTTTCATACTGGAGCGAAACTACAATCTTGAATGATGTCACAGTGCTTTTCTAAACATAAAAAGAAAAAAAAATACTAGTGCAAAACTCTAGAAATATAAAGATTGTGAAAAAACTTTTAAATGGTTTTCACACTTGATTGCAGGTAAAATAATTTATACTGGAGAAAACTCCAAGTGTGAAGGATATAATTTTTAACCAGTGTTCACAGCTTATTGTACAGGAAAGCATTTATAGTTGAGAAACAGTATACAAATATAAAGAATGTGGAAAAGTCATTAATAATCTGCTCACATATTACACAACATCAGAGAGTTCATACTTAATAAAAGTATTATAAATACAATTACTTTCAAATGATCTGTCAGAAATATAAGCCTTTAAAGTGAAGAAGAGTTTATTCTGAGACAAACATTACAAATATAAAGGGGGTTGTAGTGCTTTTACTTGTATCATTTTATTGTACACATTTTGTACTAGACAACCCTGAAGCAGTTGCTAAAATTTTGTTCAGCATTAGGAAATTTATATTAGAGAAGAATTCAGCAAATGTAATGAATTTGGAAAAACATTTTTTCCATAACTATAGCTTAGAAAATGCCAGAGCTCATACTAAAATATACTTTTGCAGATGCAATAAATACAAAGAAATATTTAATTCAAATTGAGTTTATATAATTATCAGAGAATTAACAGTAGAAATAGCTAAGACACTGACACTTCAGACATTGCACTAAATCAGACTGCTGTGTATAGAAAATGCAAAACTACTGTTCATAAGTAGATTAATTTTATATAACTTTAAAATGTGTAGACATTTCTTTGAAAAGTCATAATTACACTCAAGTATACTTTTTTGGTAAAATCATAAAACTTTTAAAAAGTAAATAATGATGTAAGTCAACTCTCAAATTACTTCATGGTATTTCTTCATTTCTGTTGTATTCACCTGTGAAAGCATGTGATTAACTATTGCTGCATCAGAGATATGAGAGATACTTTATTAGGTGGGAATTACATATGACCTCTTCTATAAAAGAGTAAGGACACTGAAATGTAAGATGCATAGGAATCTAAGTGAAGAGGCTCTTTGTGGTTAACTTAGTGATGTATGAGGTAGCTGTTCAGAGTAATATTCTTTCAAGTTATGAGAGAAAAACATTTTTAATTTTAGTTAAATGTAAGTTAAAATTAACTAAAATAGTACCATATAATGTTACTGATTGTGCTTTTATGTAATAAAATGCAGGACATTAAAAAATTTTTAGATTATGTGTGGACTTTATAATTAAATATTTTCTTTTACCACATTAAGACTATTGTACATTCTGGTTGGGCACAGTAGCTCACGCCTGTAATCCCAACACTTTGGGAGGCTGAGGCAGGCAGATCACTTGAGGCCAGGAGTTCGAGACCAGCCTGGCCAACATGGTGAAACCTTGTCTCTACTAAAAATACAAAAATTTAGCCAGGCATGGTGGTGGGTGCTTGTAATCCCAGCTATTTGGGAGATTGAAGCAAGAGAATCACTTGAACCCAGGAGGCAGAGATTGCAGAGAGCCAAGATCACGCCATTGCACTGGAGTGCAGCCTGGGCAACAAGAGCAAGACCCCGTCTCAAAAAAAAAAACAAAAACAAAAACAAAAAAACTTGTGTATTCAGTGGAGCATTATTACTCCACTAACTTTAACATACCCACCTTACTCAAGGGTGTAGGTAAAATATGGTAACAATATACTATTTGGCAACATAGTGGAATAACACCTCTAGTAATCTCTTCTGCCAATGGCTTCAAATTGCAAATAAGTTAAAAAATATTTTTCCCATAGGTTACATTTTTATCCTTTTTTTCTTAAATTTATTCTTTTTAATTTTGTGGTTACGCAGTATGTGTATATATGCCATATATGGCATATTTTGGTACAGGTACATAATATATAATAATTACATCAGGATAAATGAGGCATCCATCACCTCTAGCATTTATCCTTTTTATTACAAATGGTTTGATTAGTAAAATAACAAAAATACTATTAGTTATTTTAAAATATTAAAAGTACTTTATTTTAAAATTTACAGTTCTTGACTACAGGGTCATTTTCATGGTCATAATAAAATTTATATAGAAGTATAAATAAAATTGATACATTTCTAAGTCCTGAATAAATATATAAAGAATTTGTGGCCCGGCGTGGTGGCTCAAGCCTGTAATCCCAGCACTTTGGGAGGCCGAGACCATCCTGGCTAACACGGTGAAACCCCGTCTCTACTAAAAAATACAAAAAACTGATTCTTTCCGCCATCTTTATTCTTTCTCACTGACTGAGACGCAGCTGTGGGAAATATGAGTGAGCCTGGAAGAACAAGATCCCAATCCTCAGAAAGAGGAAATGACAAAGAGTCTTCCCAAACAGTTGGATCTGTGATTGTCCAGCAGCTCGCTGAGGAAAAACGTCAAGAAGCAGCAGCACCAACTGAAAATCAGGGTATTGCACCTAGTGGGGAGATCGAAAATGAAGGAGCACCTGCTGTTCAAGGGCCTGATGTGGAAGCTTTTCAACAGGAACTGGCTCTGCTTAAGATAGAGGATGAGCCTGGAGATGGTCCTGATGTCAGGGAGGGGACTCTGCCCACTTTTGATCCCACTAAAGTGCTGGAAGCAGGTGATGCGCAACCGTAGGTTTACACCAAGAGAAATGAAGACTGAAACCAAGAATATTATTGTTATGCTGGAAATTTGACTGATAGCATTCTCTTAATAAAGTTTTACAGTTTTCTGCAAAGAAAAAAAAAAAATACAAAAAACTAGCCCGGCGTGGTGGCGGGCGCCTGTAGTCCCACCTACTCAAGAGGCTGAGGCAGGAGAATGGCGTAAAACCCGGGGAGCGGAGCTTGCAGTGAGCTGAGATCCAGCCACTGCACTCCAGCCTGGGCGACAGAGTGAGACTCCGTCTCAAAAAAAAAAAAAAAAAAAAGAATTTGTTACTTCTTTTTCTTTGAACATGTTTTCTCTGCCTGCAAACACATACAGGCTTTTAGTTTCGATTTACATAGAGTTAAATACATGTATTACTCTAAAAATAAACCTTAGGTGTAAGAAAATTATGAAGTAAGTGTGTGTATGACTATGAGTTTGTACCCATTTTCGGAAGGAGAAAGCAATATTGGAACAAAACAAATTCTTTTAATAAGGTGACTTACTAGAAAACTAAAAACCTTGAAACTGTTGAAAGCAAATCTATACTCTGTGCATTGTGTTGAATTCATTGCTGTAAAATGTTAGGGTTTATGGTTCAGAATCTCCCTATGCACATTCTCTGTTTTTACTTGTCTGGTACCCGTAATTTTACGGGCTAGACCTGTAATTTTCACGTTTTGTATTTTATGAAGTACTTATTATGTGAGCTGGTCAGGGATTTTAAGAATGATTGTTATGAAATTTAAGAGTACACATAAAATGATTTTTAGATGTCATTAAAAAATTAGTGTATTGTTATATTTTAACATTTGATTTTTATTGGAGAAACCTGTATAAGCCTAATTTTCTTTATTGTTTCTTTCACTTTTTATAATTGACACAAGTAAATCTATTGAGGGAGCTAATTTGCTTTGGTAAGTACTAGGGAGACTTCATAAGTCATGAGGATGTTTTTACATATAAATGTAGCAAACAAATATGACAGTTCTGAGTAAAACATGCTTTATAATAAATCATAAATATTTTTGCTGGAGTTAGTTTGTAACTTCAAGTCAGTGATGGAAAGCAATGGTGAAGAAATAATATTGATTCATCATGTGGAGAAGACATTTTCAGGCTGCAAAACTGACTTGCTGAATTTAAAGACAAATTCTGCTGCTTTTCTTTTTTTTGTGTGAGATGGAGTCTCCCAGGCTGGAGTGCAGTGGCATGATCTCGGCTCACTGCAAGCTCACCTCCTGGTTTCACGCCATTCTCCTGCCTCAACCTCCTGAGTAGCTGGGACTGCAGGCGCCCGCCACCACGCCCGGCTAATTTTTTTGTATCTTTAGTAGAGACAGGGTTTCACCGTTAGTCAGGATGGTCTCGATCTCCTGACCTGGTGATCCGCCCGCCTCGGCCTCCTAAAGTGTTGGGATTACAGGTGTGAACCACCGCGCCCAGCCTGCTGCTTTTATTTTCTAATGATCTTCAATTTTATCTTATGTGTGTTCCAACTATATATGCATCACAGTCTTTCCTCTTTTACTGTGTTATGACTAAAGTTTTCTCATTGTTGTCTTCATGCCTTGTCATTTTACATGGTAGTTTGTAGGTTCTAATGAGAAAGTTGGTATTTTTAATGCAGTGAAAAATTGGTTTTAACTGAAGAATTTGCGTATCAGTAAAACTGTCAGATTAGTTAATTAAGAGAATAGACATACATGGTTAACAAGTGAAAAGATTACATCAGTTAGCTTTATTTTTCTTTGTAAAAAAATGTTTTATTCTTACAAAAAGCATGGCAAATATAAAATTTGTTTAAAAAAAGTATTTCAGAAATTAGATTCTAAATAGAGTTAATGGTAAATGAACAATTTTAAATTTAATTTCCTGTCATATATTTATAGCACAACTTATGTTTCTGTGTAGAATCTTTTTTTTTTTTTTTTTTTCTGTTTTTGAGATGGAGTTTCGCTCTCTCTCCCAGGCTGGAGTGAAGTGGCCCAATCTCAACTTACTGTGACCTCCACCCCGCAGATTCCAGCTATTCTCCCACCTCAGCCTCCTGAGTAGCTGGGATTACACCACGCCCAGCTAATTTTTGTGCTTTTAGTAGTTTTGGGGTTTCACCGTGTTGGCCAGGTTAGTCTCAAATTCCTGACCGCAGGTGATCCACCCGCCTCGGCATCCCACAGTGTTGGGATTACAGGCATGAGCCACTGAGCCTGGCAGAATCTTCTATTTTTAAGTGTGAATGTTGAATGTGGCAAAACAACACAATGATCTGTGGATTTGAAATTTGGAATAATATTTATATTACATCTTGATAAAACAATTTGGAGAAATTCCACTTTTTTTTTTGAGATGGAGTCTTGTTCTGTCACCCAGGCTCGAGTACACTGGCGCGATATCAGCTCACTGCCACCTCCACCTCCCAGGTTCAAGCGATTCTCCTGCCTCAGCCTCCTGAGTACCTGGGATTACATGCATGCATCACCATGCCTGGCTAATTTTGTATTTTCAGTAGAGACGGGGATTCTCCATGTTGACGCAGGTCTCGAACTCCTGACCTCAGGTGATCTGCTCTCCTGGGCCTCCCAAAGAGCTGGGATTATAGGCGTGAGCCACTGGACCTGGCCGGGAAAATAAAAATTTTAAAATTAAACATATGTGAACTTTATCTGGGTCATCAGCTGTGTGTGCCCAGGAGAAATTATTTTACATTCTTGGAACTTCAGGATTCACTATTAATAAAAATTACTATTTCCCCCAGGGCTGTTTTAATTCATACATGGTAGCTATAAGTATTTTTTACTGAAACTTTTGTCTAAACATATTATAGTAAATATTAATAAAATTATTCATTTTTCAAATATTTTATTATAATTGAGTATATTTTGTCATATTTAATGTATTTATCCTGTTTTTAAAATGCCAAAATAAGAATTTTTTTTTGAATACCAGACTAAGAGTTTCTATATTGTGACTTTGCTAAGTTTTGCATATGATTTTGACTGCTACCATTGAACTTAGGTTGAATATTAAACCCACTTTCGTTTAGCTTGTGTGGTTTTTGGTTCATTTGGAAAACAAAATATATTAGACATGAACTGTTAGGGTAACTTGGCTTCATTTTTGCTCTCTTTCTGTTACTATATATGGGGCTTTAGAAATCACTAAGATTCGGCCAGGCATGGTGGCTCACATCTGTAATCCCAGCACTTTGGGAGGCCGAGGCAGACAGATTACCTGAGTTCGGGAGTTTGAGACCAGCCTGACCAACATGGTGAAACCCCGACTCTACTAAAAATACACAGTTAGCCAGGCGTGGTATCACATGCCTATAGTCCAAGCTATTTGGGAGGCTGAGGCAGGAGCATCACTTGAACCTGGGAGGTGGAGGTTGCGGTGGGCCAAGATCGCACCACTGCACTCCAGCCTGGGCAACAAGAGCGAAAATCCATCTCAAAAAAAAAAAAAAGAAATCACTAAGATTCAAATAAGGTTAGTTGGGAATCAAGCAACAGAAAATCCCAAAAATGACTCAGAAAAATAGCTACTGGATAGTGCCTTTCAGTGAGATTTATACATGAAACAGGCCAATAACTTTTACAAATTTATTGCAAGTTCATTAAATGTAGAAAATAATTGCCTGCAACATATTAGGCACTTGTCTTAGTCTATGGCATCCCTAGCTTGGGGAAGCTGACATTACAGAAAAGAATATTGCTACTGTAATGAGATTTGGAACAAATACTTACGTGCTTTTAAACATTCTCTTTAATAATCCTTAGAGACGTCATTCTGGCTCAATTCTTTTAGTATACTGTCTACAATTCTAGAGACTCAGTCCCATCAAATTTAAGCCATGGCATTTTCAGCTTTTTATGTTTATTTTTAGCTAGTGAGCTTAATAGTTGATATTATTATATTGGGGTCCCCAAGGCAA